ATATTATCAGTGGATCACCTACAACTGAAATGGTTTCATCAAAATCATTCAAAACAAGTAACTTTTTTATACACCTTAATTAAAAAGGCGTTTAATACAGTTAACCACGAAATTCTTCTGGCCACATTAAGCCTTAGGGTCGCTTGGCTGTTCAGCATGCAGGTAGCAGGTGCTCTGCAGTGGTTTTCTGGTTACTTCTCAGGCCGCACACAAAGAGGGTATTTAAATATAGCGTACTCTAAACCCCCAGTGTCGTTTCTTAGACTGTACTGTGGGGCATGCACAGGGCTTCATTCTTGGACCCGTACCTCTGTTGTTTTGTATTTATATGAACTCTATGCCCTCCTCCTACAAAGCAGAACTAGAGTCAAAAAATCGGAACACGTTTTCCGAGAAATGAAATTTTTTTTAAAGCAGACCGTACTTTGAATTTTTGAATTCATTTTCCAAAACTGAATGAATACCTGATATATCTTTTTTGGATGAAATTTTACAGACCTAACATATTTTTAAGATTCGAATAAAATTTTGTAGACCTGACATGTTTTTAAAATTCGAATCAAATTTTTTGGACCTAATATGTTTTTAAGATCTGAGTAAATTTTTTTAGACTTAACATGTTTTGAAGATTCAGATGAAATTTTTTGACCCAACATGCTTTTAAGATTCGAATAAAATGCTGCAGACCTGACATGTTTTTAAGATACGAATAAAGTTTTTGGACCTAATATGTTTTGAAGATTTGAATGAAATTTTTCAGACCTAACATGTTTTCGAAATCCGAATGAAATTTGACAGACCAAACCTTTTCCAGATTCGAATGCATTTTCCCTGATAATAAACAGCCGAAGGTTTCGAGTTCAGCACCCGCATTTCATCCGAATGCAGAAAGCATCAATTGCATTGACACAGATTTCTGCTGGGTTAAACTTAAATCACCTTGTTTTAAATTAAATTGTGATAAAACCAACGTGATGGTCATTGGGGGAGAGGAAAAACTTAAATTAAAGAGTGGAGGTGAATGATATTGTTGTGAACTTGAGAGTTCAGAGGACCAAATGTCTAGGTGTGATTATCGATGATGAGCTGAAATGGACCGATCAGGTAGACAAAGTTGTGAGTAGTGTGCAAGCAAAGCTAGGCAAAATGAGAAATATGTTCCCCATGGAACGCCACAAGTCTATCACCCATGTGGATCACTTTTTCAAGAAAGCGGAGCTCCAACTTGCAGCATTTCATTAAACGAGGAAGGCAAGTGCGCATGCGAAAAGCAGAGATATATGTACATTTGCTATTTTACTTTTCGGTCATCGAGTATCAAAAACTCAGGCTCACGTAGGCCTATACGTACTTTCACTAACAACATACTACTTTCACAAAAAACCCCAAATTTGGGGGGGGGATATCTTCTGGGAAAGGCGAAACGAAAAGAAAAGTGATCTTCTGGCCATACTCTTGAATTTTCAGTGAAAGAAATTTAATGGAGGCCAACCTCTTCACCAGACTCAACAAGCGGCGCTATTTCGGTCCGGTTTTGCACTGTTTTCTATGGGCGCATATTTGGTGTAGTGCAACCTTATCATGGTGGAACTGAACTCCCCAGATGACGTTTTTTATAAATGTGAAGAGAAGCTGCAACGTTAGGCATGATAGCCTATGGATAACAATGACCAATTCCCTGTTAAATAACCACTTTACATCAAAACTGTGTGATCATAATCTATCGATCAATCAATCAGTCGTTTATCGATTTTAACAGTGACAATCATTATACTTGAGAACTATGGAGGGCGCTATTACTGGTTAAAGGCGCCACGCGGCGCCCGTTTTGGAATCAGTTAGTATGTACATGTACAGTTAGCCTGTGTCTGTAGGCATCACTGTAAATTATCATTCAGTGACAGGAAGCAGTTGATGATTATTTTCTTTCATGTTCGGAATGAAGGATGGGATCGACGTTACTTCGTACATGTACACGCGATGCATGCAGCATGGTAAGAGAGTCAGCACAAGCACTTGATTCTCCGAATTCCGGGTGCAAATTTCCGGTCAGGCACATGCGTGACTACTGCATACTGTACTGTAGGCATATGGCATATGATTATCAGCACTGACATAAAAACTTGACAAGCAAATGTCAACATAGTCAATGAATGTGAACTGCAGTTATTTAATGAAGGCTTGCCCTGAGGCAGGCAATCCCGGACAAAAATAGTTTTCAAACTGCCCTCAACTTGCTTGACCATTTTGACACACACTTCAAACAGCGGAAGTGAGTTCAATATCACCCGAAACAATGAGCAGCAAAATAAGTAACTGTTTTACAGAACCATGCGCACAACCAATCCTGCCTGTGTGACCCCTGAATTCAAGGGGTGTTGGTGCAGTATCCATCAAAATGCAAAAGAGGCCAAAATACATGGAAGCTCAGCTGGGACTTCAAATGCAGCACTAGATTAAATTTTACCAGATGACCAACTTCAGCCTCCATTGGGCATGCTGGTGTCCTGTGTGCACAGCATTTCTTTAGTCTGAGTAACTTGAACTTTACGAATTGCCTTTTCAAACATTTGAAGGATTGTGAATTTGAGGAGCCCCTGTTTTTAGTTACTTTTATTACGAATTTAGACGTGTTACTGTTAGATCAGCCCTGAAAAAGAGCGTTACTCTGGCAATGTCTCTTGATTGCCATGGCCCGATGTGGGTTGCATCTGGATGAGTAAATTGCCTTGTTTTCATCAACGCAAAGAGACCATCATGTTGATAGGCACAAACATGGGGCCGTTCTGTCTAACAGACCTACCCCCTCCCCGTAATGTTAAACCAATTCAACTCTGTCTTTTACTCATGCAAATAAGGTACTATCCAATCAGCAAAATTCATCCAAAAAAGGAATTGGCAAACATTTACGTTAGAGCTTTGGCTGTTTTTTTCATACTCTTACTCCCCAAATGGATCATCTCGACCACTCAGAGGGCCGCTTTCTTAATAAACTTTTCAGTAACCAATGTTTTGTGGAATTTTCACTCTAGTAGTCAAAATTCTTTCATTTATGGACCTTATGTAATTTGATATATACATTGCAACATGAAAATAATTTTTAGTTCAAAAAAAAAAAATTCAGGAAGTTAACATTGGTCTATAAAATTCAATGTCAAAAACATAGGTCAGAGCCAAAGTAGGCAGCCATCTTAGAATGTTGTCAATTCTTTATCATTAGAAATAAAAAAATTCACTTGTAGTAATTTCTAGTTCTCGTTTTAATTGAACTGTTCCATTTATCAAATTGTATTTTTTTGTTTCATTTGCCCCAGTACGTCCAACACTTCAAGACGTCACCCCTGCTGTTGACCCTGTTTGTACGCTGTCATGGCAGGTTTTTGCCGTCAGCTCCAGTATCTGCTATACCGCAACCTGCTGCTGAAACGAAGAAACAAGAAACAGTTGTTTCAGGTGGGGCTTGGGTCAAATTTAAATGGTTGACACATACATGTACATGTAGAAAAAGAAAAGTTTCAGATTGTTTGTATACATGTGCATACTGTTAGATCCCATTCAATGGTGTTATGTCAGCTTACTTTTGCTTATGATCTTCAATACCTTTGGAGAATTTTTTTGGGGGGGCCCTAAGACATACATGTAGGCCTGCTGTGCCTACATCATCCCATGTACTTGATATTTCTGTAACTGGTATGATGCTTCAATTAAAAACTTTCAACCAACCATTCATTAATTCAGAGGAACATCAGGTTGTTTTGGTTTTAGCTGTGATCACTGGGTGTATTTTCTTTTTGATTTTGGGTTGGTAGGAGTTGCTCTTTCCTCTGCTCTTTATTGTCCTCGTCGCCTATGTAAATGGAGTCTCACCAAAAGTGCGCTATGAACCTCTTAGCTATGATGCCTTTGAAAGTTACCCACTGCTGGGGGCCAACGAGAGTGTGTCCTTCCTGCCAGATGCCAGCCGGCCCTGGGCGTTTACCCCCAACACCACCCACACCCGGCAAGTCATGCTGGCTGTCAACGCTACCTTTGGGGATAATGCACCTGCCAGCTTGTTGGCCTTCGACAGCATGAGCGACATGGTGAAGGCATACAAGTCGGGGCAAGACTCGTTCACCATCGGCGTCGTGTTCAGCAATGATTTCCCAGCCAACCTGACGGTGGTCATTCGCATGCCCATTGGCAGCATCCCCTCAACAGACCCAGGCTTACGGTTCATTGACCAGGGTAAATTAATTGATGGTTTATAGTGCTAATATTGGCAGGTTATCAAGTTTTGCTCTTACCCATGGCCAGTGGGCTTCGTGGTCTTTCTTGGATGCCTTATACATGTAGCTCCCAAGAGAGCATTGTGATCACCTTCAGGCCAGTTCCTGCATGTATTTGGCATGAAGACAAACACGAATGCATAATTGTGTAAACTCAGATCAAATATCAATGTACGTTTGGCAAAATCACAAAAGTTGAACCTATTTCGACCAAGTGAATTTCTGCAAATGTTTTGTGAAATACAGTGCACGTCTGTCTTGGATTCTTTTTTTTATTCACTTGAAGGATGAGTCAACCCTGTAGTAAAGCAGTCTTATTATATATATGAAAATGCTTTGTTTCCTGAGGTTTTGAGGAGGTTTTACTGCATGTTGAAATTGTTCAAATTTTTGTCTTTCGGTGAACCTAACGTATATGTACATGTAATGTAAATGGGACTAATGTTACTGCAATTACATTGTGACCTCTTTCGGTTGTCAGACTTGCAGGCACTTTTCAGATTGAAGATGTAATAATCTTTCCCATTAAACCTGAATTGTCACATCGCTCTTCCTTTCCTTTTAGGACTATCAACTAAGTAAAGTAACTTAAATTCAACCATGTAAAGATCAACAAAGATATTGACTGGAGCCGCACTTTACTATCTTAGTTATCTGGCCCTCTGCTGGCAGTTTTGTTCATGGGTACTTCTAGAAATTGGGGGTCCAAAAGTGTGACTTTTTGTGTCAGTGTTACATCTGACCTTTGTTATTTGACATGGAAATATCACTGAAATTGATTTCAAACAACATGTATTATTATTTGTTTGGCAGGTAATTTGCATTAATTCATCACTCTTGGAAATCAGAAAAAGTGTTCAAAATCATATGTCAGATGTGACAGGGACACACAAAAAAGGGACCCTTATTTCTGGAATTACCCCATCAGTTGAAAACGTTGTTCAGAGCTTGCATTATGTATTTGAGGCATGATTCCTGACTGTATGGTGTTTGGGGTTTTATGGCTTTCTGATGAATGGTGGTTTTGACTACTGGGGAAAATATAGGGTTAGACAGCTCAGTCAGTACAGATTGTCGGTATGGCATTCCACAGATTACAGGTTCAAAACCAAATCTCTGCGTGTTTTGTTTGATAATGGAAACTTAAATCAAACTTCAAGCCTGTAACTTTTCCATGTACGTACATGTATATTTGCCTGGTACCTGTATGTTATAATACATTAACAGCTGAACTGGAAACCTGTTTGCGAGCATTGACTAATTTGTGGTTTTGTTTGTTTGTTTTTTTTAATATTTTTTTACTGCAACAGTAAACTGTCGGGGCCCAAACCCAACACATCCCGGACTGATAAATGGAATATGCAGTACAAATCGGTACTTGTTCTCGGGCTTTGCAGTCCTTCAGACTGTTCTACAAAATGCCATCTCTTCGGTAAGTCAGATCCATATTTTAATTCTAAATTTTATTTTGAAAAAAAGAAACACCATTTAACAAAAAAGACACTGGGCAGAATATATCCCTTGCTGAAGATCTCAGCTGATCCATGTTTAGAAACCTGGTGTGTGTGTGTGAAGATATCATTAAAAAGCATGTGTGTGTTTGGGAAGCATCAATCTAATTTCACCTCTACAAGTACAATTTTGTCGTCGTGGTAATTTGTGGTTCATAGATGCGAGGGTTTTAGGAAATCTCAACTTTTTTGGCTAACGTGTCTTGAAAAAGATGGGCATTTCATGAGACCCCCAAGGTCTGTCTGATTTCCATATAAATTTGGCGTCAAAATGACATTACGTGAAAACACCTCGAGGCTCAGCATGAAACAAAGGAAACATTGCAATAATATCCGAGAAAATACTATAGAGGGACAGTGGTGGCTTCCATCGCTGGATCTTTTTGGGTTAAAATTAGAAAGAGATTTTACAATGTACCTGTACGTCCAGTTTTATTGAAATTGTTTAATATATATGCAAAAATGACTGTCATTTCCAAGCTGGCCTAGTAACAAACTGAGCCAAACTTTGTATTGTCCTGAAAATCCATTCCCCCCGGCTGTGTGCCTGTTGTTTTGATAGAAACCAAAATCAATTTAGAATGGCACAGATTGGACTGCAGTAGGCATGAATCATGGGCCTCAAATGTCATGGAAATGATGACTTTCACTGTGGCAAACTGACTGATTTTATTGGTATAGTGCACTGAAGTGCACAAAGGGGGCTGGTCATTACTTCACAAAGTAATGGATGCAGCAATCTGATGTTTGGAGCACTGATGGTTATATTCTGTTGTTGAAATCCCAAATCACCTTGAAAACCAAGAAGAGTTTAGGGTAACAAACTTTAATGAAAGACACTTGCATATTTGCTTTTTCCAAGAGTGAGAAATGGCAAAAGAAGTACATGTACATAAGCAAATTCACTTGACAAATGAGAGAGGTTCGCTAATTAACGATCACTTAATTGACATACACTGAGACAAAGTAAAGACTTCCTAGGCTAACAGTCAACTACAAAGAGAAATCTAAACCAATCCAAAGGATTGATATGATAGCCTTAGACACAATATTCCTAGGAAAATGTCCTACCGTTCACGCCTTAGACATGTTAGACAAGCATTATTTGTCCCTAGATAGGTTATTACATCTTGCAATATCTCTAAGTGGCCTAAATGAACAGAAAAATATGACTGGAATAATTTTCCAGGAAACTGAATAACATTAATAAGGTGAAATCTTAATGCAAGGCACAAACGGGATGAATGCGTACAGTATGACCAAATTAATACAACATAACTTTCAATCTTAAGATAAAGATCGGAAAGTGATCAGACGATACATAAAATCTTTTACACACAAAACTAATAGTTGGGTTTTCCTACCCTTAGAATGGCATTTTCTGGCCCTGTTATTGTGTCTTCATACCTTTGAAGTCAAGCTCAGAGAGAGTTCACATGTGTTATTACAGAACAGGACGTGCGCAGACGCACAATCCATCTCAGGACGCCCAGAGAACCTGCTGATGGAAACTTATCCCACCGCACCAGACTGACACTTACAATGGGCATTAATTTCCTTTTTTTGTTCTGAGGATCACCATTCATTGCATTTTAACCCTAACAATCCTCAGTCCTCCAACATGTGAAGGATTGAGGACTGTTAGGGATAGAGTACCAAAGTTTGTACAACACGCTCACAGTTATGTGTGTAAAAGGCTGCATTATAGCGTGTACTCCATTTGCTTGCAAGTGCCGCATTTCCTTGTTCGAAATGATGTCATCACACATGTCAATACACACACCCTTGCCATCACCACAGAAAAACCAGACACAGCATTTGTGTATCATTTACATATCGGACCATTCTCGAGGTCGGAGGCTGTTCCATATATTGCACTCACGTCTGGGGAAAGGGGCAACTCACCATTCACTTTTTACAGTGATTTGTTGCTGTAAAATGTACAAATATAACTGAAACCTTTTTGGTACAGTATGGGAGATAGTCATTGCGCATAAATAGTGAATTACATGTACAAGGGGGAAACCAGTTTATAACCAAGGAAAGTTACTTTGTAGCTAATCGCAAAAGTGGTTAGTTTTCGTGCAGGTCATATAATGCCTGGTTTCATTGGCTTACAGGTTGTTGCTGGACAGCCCATCAAACTTCCAGATTTTTCTGTGCGCATGTTACCCGTGGGTGGGGCCATTGTGAACTCGACTGTAATGAGGATCATGATGGTGGTTTTCTTTGTCTTAATGTATGGTATCTTTGTTGCCGTGCTCCTGACCAACCTTGTGTATGAGAAAGAGAAGAAGATCAAAGAGATGATGCTCATGATGGGGATGTCTAACGCCGCCTTCTGGTGAGTGTCTTGGCTCCGATGTTGGACTTGCAGTCAAGTGCCATGTAGGAGTCTTTGTGTATGTGTACGTGTGAGTCGCAGTGAGTGTGAGAAAGACAGAATTAAGGAAGATTATGATTTGAAGGTCCAATACTGGCTTTTGGTGAGTGTTTCTGCTCAAATGTTAGAGTCTCAGTGAGTGTGGTCATGAATCACCATGAGTGTTACAAATCGTGTGCTCAAAACCTACTTCCAGAATTGTAAGGTCGCCATGCACAAACTCTTGTTACCACAGTTTGGCAGTTTCAATTGTGCCAACTTACTGTGCCATCACAGCTATTTGTGCAACAAAATTTCACACATCCCTTCATGGTGAAGTCAGATGTCAGGGAGGTCTATTCACCTCATATTCTCATTAAAATGGTGAAATTCTTGAGCATTTTGCCCATCCACACGACAGAAACTCAGCAACATGTACTCTCAATAGCTGCCAGCTGTGTGACAGCTATAGTGTAGACCAATCACAACACAGCTCCTATCTTTTCCTACGTGTTTTCCTGTCAACCACAGATGAACGCTGTGATTGGCCCAATTTGCTCCCATTCTAATGACCAATCATGGCTCAAGTTTCTTCTTGATGGGGACAAGAAAACTAAAGAAAAAGATCTGTGCTGCGATTGGTCAAGCTGTCACACAGCTGACAGTTACTGAGAGTACATGCTGCTGAGTTTCTGTAGTGTGGATGGGCAAAATGTTCAAGAATTTCACCATTGTAATGAGGATATAAGGTGAATAAACCTCCCCATCTGACATCTTACTTCACCAAGAAGGCATGTATGAAATTTGGTTGCACAAATAGCTGTGATGGAAGGGTGAGTTGGCACAATCAAAACAGCCAAAATGTGTTTATGGGAGTTTGTACATGGCTCACTGTAAGGTTTGTGTAAACCTTACAGTTCTGAAGTATTCAAAACCTATGCACAATATATGCCCCTTTGTGATATGACCAACAGTTTATGCAAAGACTTCCCCCATAACTAACATTTCCTGCTACAATGTCAGAGCTCCTCTGCATGTACATCACAGTTTATGGTAAAACTGGAGTTGGTTGGCCAGACTCATGCAAAGACTGGTCTAATCTGGAAAGGCAAAATGTGGGTCAGTTTTATAAGTCACTATGTTAGGGAACCACAAATTAACCAAGCCGTGTGATATTCCAAAAAGCCAAGGTCATTCAAGAACAAAGCATGCGACATTAGGCCATTTCTGACATGTTTAATCCTTGTGAATTGGTGTGTGGCTGCCCTGATATTGCTGACCTCACAAGCAAATAAAAATGTATCATTACAAATGACCTACACGTACACAGGGCCATATTATCAATGGTGGTACTCCGAGTCCGGGCTTTACATGTCAGTACACTGGTGAGCTGTGATACTTACATGTAGCATATCATGTTGAATCTGAGCTGTACTGCACCAGTTGTTTGATGTTTTCCTGAATTGAAAATTCAGAGAGAGAAGTCGAAGCTTTCAAAATAACTAAGTGAACTTTTTGTTTGTCATTTTCATAGGACCTCACATATGAATTGGGTTTCAGTCCCTACCTAAGTCCGTGGGTTATCCCTGAAACCGTTATCCAGGGTTTTCCTCCCATCTCTAGAACTGAAAATTTATTCATTGTCTTTGTCATGCATTATCATCCTGTAATTGGCGTTAAATATGCTGTTGGGTGAACAGATATAAATGAAGCTTTTTCACTCTCACGTCCCATCACAGGTAGGAGGAGATGAGCAGCAATAGAGGTCTGGAATGCCACACTTACAGTCAATGTGCATAACTCATGACTTGGTGTGATCGGACCACAAGACTGGTGTGTGTTTGTCAGGGCGAGTCAGTTCAACCAACCTTTCTGTTTTCCCTGCCTTTTAGGCTGTCCTGGTTCATCATTTATGGAGTCATCTTAACTGTTCTGTCAGTGCTGGTTGCCATGCTAGTTGTCTTTGTCCTTCGGATTCTTGGCAGTTCAAACTTTCTCCTCATTCTCCTCATTCTGTTCTTCTACGGAATGTCACGTAAGCAAACTGTTGCATCCTTTCAAAAAAACGTTTTGCTGTAAGAAGCCACGCATTCTGATATCGATTTGACCTTGACCCATGTAGCCAATTTATCTAGACCTGCTAAGCTTAGAAAGTCATTAAGATTGAAACATCCGCTTACCAGCCAAAGAGTCATGGTATATCTGTTGTTCGTGACTGATTATCTGTAACTTTCTTCTCAGCGCACGAAGTAGCTGAAAAAGATTTTCTTTGTAAGTCCTCTATCAAAATGGGTTCAGGGTCCGATATTGTGACGGTAATAAGTAACACAAGTTGTCTGCTATGTGATGTGATCACGCATATCCTTGGCCCGTGAGTTCTAAGTAAAGTTTTGCTGTCCATTTTTGAGGTCTGTGAAAATGGTCAGGACCCCCTCCCCTAATAGGTAGGGCATATTGTGCTCTGCCAACCTGAATAAAAATTAAAATGATAAAAAGAAATCTAATATCAAACCAAAATAACTTCAAAAAGCCTCCGTCTATTTAATAAATTTTGGCTTTCGTTCTTAAGATAAACAATATGATTTCGACAATCTTTTCTTCTTGTTGAATTGTAAAAATTTCCAATCATTTCCAATCATCTTGTGCAGTAATTTGACCTCACAATATTACACATGGCCATTAAAGTACCCCTTGCACCGCCAACAAGGTGCCTCCCAGCTACGTGTACGACAGAGATGGATTTACAATTGGCGGGTTGTTCTGCAAGACAAGTTAACCTTCATGAACTCAAATATAAAACAAGACAAATACCTCAGCTATTTTTTTCTTTTTTTTACATGACTTTTTTATGGGTACCTTGCCCTTCAAAATAGAGTCAGGTATTGACACCGGTGGTTGGGTACCTGAGTGCCAAGACAGGCCGAATATACGTACATGTAGGTAAACAGAAAGCCAAAACAGTCATTTACTGGTTATGAAAGAACGGTAAGAGAAGCAACATAGTGAATGAGTAAATATTGTACGTCTTTGTTCAGAGTTTGGGGTTGGGATGATTTTCATCCAACTTTGTTTTCTCTACTCTCTTTGTTTTGTCTGTGCTCAGTGGTCAGTTTTTCCTTTATGCTGAGTCCGTTCTTCAGCAAGTCGCTGGTTGCTGGAGTTGCAGCGACGGCGGTCACCTTGACTCTGGGCCTCATCTACATCCCCTTTGGAGTATTCCCAACCATCCCCACCATCTACAAGTGGCTGCTATCATTCTTCTCTCCCCTGGGGTTTGCCCTGGCTATTGATCAGGTATATTTGAAAAGAGAGTTACCCAAGCCTAGTTTCACTGCACTGCTTAACCGTTAGCGCAAAAGTTGCGCTAACGGGGACTGTATCAGAACGCCACACTGTTGCTCAAGCACTATTTCATGGGTGGATGACAATGGACATGGTCTATCACTGATTTATGAAAGCATCTTAAGTGTATTCTCAGACAGTTTGATTGGTACTTACATGTAGGTTTGAACACTGGAGCTTTTCTGTCTTTTGTGAAAACACATCAGTAATTTTTATAAAGATTCACAACTAGGAACGATGGTTGTTTCTCAAGGAAAGGAGAGGCACTCCTTTTTCCCCTTGCCTGCTTGTCCTGGTGTTAAGAACTTAAAGATTAGCCTTTAGCTGCCCAGTTATTCTTTCAAAAATTTCCCATTGGGGTAGACCCAATGGCTATAATTCATGCCACAACATGCAGGCGGCCAATTGTCTTCCTTGTGATTGTTAAATCTGTTATGCCTTAAAACAAAATCATATTAATTTGACATTTATACTGCTTAATTTTTGTTGATTTAGGCTTTCTCTCTTGAGGACTGGAATGTTGGGCTCCAGTTTTCTAATCTTGTTGTGGATAGTTTCCCACCCTATGTTGCCATGCTTGCCTTGGACAGTGTGCTCTACCTACTGCTAGCTATCTACTTTGATAATATCATTCCAGGTACCAGACTCATTGTCTTCCCAGGTTTATACAATGTACATGTAGACTTTTAGCGTTTTTTCAGCATTGATATGGCCTGGATTGAAGCATGTTTAAATGTGTGCCCAGATGGGCCATATTGTAAGGACTAGGTTTTGTATACTTGTATTCTCCTTTCTGGAAATTTCAAGAAAACGGCAAGTTTGAAGCAGGAACTATGATTCTGAGTAGTTCAGACTGCAGTATGTTATTTCAGACATCGTTATTAAGACCATGGAGGTTGTTTTCTGTTGCCAAAAAAAGGCATAGTTTACTGTTCAATATTTTTTGTTTATTGGACTCTACAATGAAATTTGGTGCATTCGGTGAATTCGTGTATACTTCCCGTTATTTATCCGTAGCCGGTCCTGTTTGTCCGATTCTGTTGTTCCGCGTTAAGAATGCATTTATGAATAAATTTGCTATCGAAATGGATTGCCAGTGGAAGTAGTAATCCAAGTTGAGCTTTAACCACTTCCTGCCGGCGGACCCTGGAATGGGAGACGTATG